TTTCTATTTTTGGTACAATTTGGATGACTGTAATTTTAATATTTGGTTTACTTTGGATTGGTTAAAATGGCATGATTATAAGGCCAAATAACTGGCTTGTGTTGAAAATTGACTAAATTGCTTATTTTACTTGTTGGGAGTATAAGGATGGACAAATGTGATTTAGTTTACTTGTTGGGTTGTAACATCCCAATTTAAATTTTAATAGTTAATTTAGGTTAATAGAAATTTTAAAAAAAATTTAAAAAAAATTAATTAAAAAAAATTATTAAATTATTATTATAATAAAAAAAGGGGAAAAGGTATGCCAAAAAAAAAAGGAAGAAGAAGAAGAAAACGAATTTGCTTTCGGCGCCGCATGAATAGTAAATATAAAATAATAATAAAAAAAAGGGGGAGAGAGAAGAAGAAATAATAAAAAAAATATGTGGGACCCACTGAATTTTTATAAAACTCACCCGTTTCCTTTCATTTCTTCAATTCCTTTCCTGCGCGCGAGCTGAGGCGGAGAGAAGCGAGTTGCCAGTGCGAAATATCTAAATTTTTAAGGTAAGAGTTTTTAATAGGATATTTAGGGTGTGATTTTAAGCTTTTCAAGACTAAGTAAGTGTTCTAAAAATTTTTCTTAGTCATCTTTCTTCTTTGGTTTCTGATTTTGTAGTGGTAGAAAATTTAAGATCTGGAAGAGGGATGAATTTATGTTGAATAAATATGGTTTTTGAGGTTGTTAGTAGTATAATAAATATTCTAGAGTATAAATTTATTGGTGATCTTTGAATTTGTGGCTTATGGATCAAATTCTAAACTAGATCTGAAAATATATGTTGATTTATTGAGGTTTAGATGATGATTTGGAATGAGAAATGAATTATTATGGCTATAGGATTATGATTCTAAGCTAGAGACTTAATTTTTAATTTTTGGGTATTTTAGGTACGAATTTATAAAATAAAAAGAAAATTTTGATAATAGAAATTAGTTTAAAATTTGATTTTTAGATTATCAATGTTTATTGATAATTAAAAGAGGAGTTAAAAATTTTACTTAATAGTATTAACTATAGATTTGTATTAAGATTGAGATTAGGAATTATGTTATATTTTTAATTCTATTATTAGAATTATTTTATTAGTTTCAAAAATTGAAACTAATATTTATAAATAATATGTTATTTGTAGATTGTATTACTGGTGAAGATTGTGGTGAGAGAGAAATTTTAAGGAATAATTTATTGAAAAAGCCACAAGGTAACCATGCTTTTAATTTATGATTAGTGTTACTTCATGTTAATTGGGTGATTATTGAGAAAATTATAAATTTTGTAATATTATATAATTGTGCAATATTATTATAAATTTATTTGATTATTGTGGGAGGTGTTGGGAGACTTGCTATTGTTGTTGTATTTATGTGCCACGTGGTATGCCCCTATTGGAGCTCAATAGGTGGTTTGTAAGGACTCGGGCTAATCTACCTTTGGCCGGGTAATTTAGTACCGAGTGAGGGCTACGGCTCGAGGTTAATGGAGGGATATAAGGATGGTTGTTTGTGTGTATTGTATTATTTCTTATATTTATTGGAATTATATTATTTTTAATTCTCACTTAGTAAACACACACTTAACTGTTTGTATACACTATCATAAATTGGCTTTGGTTACTGGGACTTTTGAGTCTCATTATGTGGTTAACAATTTTCAGGAGAAGAGCCATGAGTGACACGTGGAGGAGTCCCAGAGCTTAGTGGTCCACTGTCTCTTTTGGGTATTTAATTTATGATTTATAATGTGTTATATTGCCAATATTAGGGCTTTTTGTTTATTGTCAATTATATGAATATATAAATGTAATCATGCCTTTCAAACTATTTCTATTTTTGGTACAATTTGGATGACTGTAATTTTAATATTTGGTTTACTTTGGATTGGTTAAAATGGCATGATTATAAGGCCAAATAACTGGCTTGTGTTGAAAATTGACTAAATTGCTTATTTTACTTGTTGGGAGTATAAGGATGGACAAATGTGATTTAGTTTACTTGTTGGGAGTATAAGGATGGACAAATGTGATTTAGCCTAATGGCATGTGGGAGGTAAAAATTTATCTGAAATGTTATAGTGTGTGAGTTGAAACCAATTATAAAATATTTTATATCGAAATTATTGATATAAAAATATGTTGGGTGGCTGTAACCCAACTATGATTGAGTTAAATTATTTAAAAAAAAAATTTGGTGTGTTACAATACTCAAGTTCTAATTTCTAGAGGATCTAATGTTTTACCATATGCTGTCTTGTAAGTGGGCTCTTTGCATGTGAAGTGTGATCCGTGTTCGCGTGGTGAAAAGAAAACAGCGACTATTATAATTAATCATACAATTTCGTGCTCAATCATTTTAAATATTATATATGTATGTATATATATATGTATATATATGTATATATATATATTTATAATTTTTTTGAATTTTAAATGAATTAAAAAAATGGGTGTGACACAAACAAATTTAGTAGTATTATAATCTCATGCCTTCATTGTTATTAATCTATTTGGTAATTGATTGTGTCCCCGCACGAACGCAAATTTGAAATGCCAAATGACATGATAATCAAAGCCCTATGCTCAATCAAAAGTAGCTAAATAGCAAATAGTTGTCTAGAGACTAAGTTAAGATGGCTAGCAAGCTAGATCTGTTGTAATTGTAGAAAAGTTTTTATAAAATGCTTTTGGAAAAGAAATTAATATAGAAGGAGAAATTCTACTTCAACATGCATGACTGATTATTGATTTAACTACCTTGCCTCCTAACCATTTAACGTTATATTGGATGGATTTAACAAAGAAAAATATTACATTGATAATAAATTATATATACAACAAAATAATAAAAACTTTCAGAATTTAATACTTTTTAGGTTATCAATTGATAATCACAGGTTGCACTGTTCACTCTCTGAATACTTCTCTCTCTCTCTCTCTCTCTCTCTCTCTCTCTCTCTCTCTCTCTCTCAAAAACAGGTTGATTTAGAGCAGACTGATGTTTTTTTAGAGAAAATAAATCCATCGTACTGATAAATGATAATTTTGTATATTTTTGTTCTTTTAATTTAGACTTTTAAATATTTATTTAAGGCTAATTGAGTTTAATTAGATATTATTTGATTTTATTAGCTAATATTCAGTTTTGGAATTTTAACTAACTAAATCTTTGATTTTAAAATATAAATAATATCTTTAATATTTTTGCACAGGTGCTATTTAATTTTATTTTATTTGTGCAGATTTTTTAGATTCAATTTGAAAGATATTGATGAAGAATATTTTGGATAAGAAGAATATGGGCATGCTTGGAGATCAAATCAAGAATCAAATCTTTAAAATTTTATTTGAATTTATTTTGGATTATTTAGTGTAATTTTTAATTAGGGTTATTTAAGGTAGTTTTATCTTTTTAATAAACTATTAGTTTTTATTATAAAAGAAAGAAAGAGAGACGCAGGGGAGAGGATCCACTTTTCATATATATATATATATATATGAATAGATGGGGGACACAGAGAGGAAGCACGATCTGGGAAAAAAAATGAAAGAAGGGAAACAGAGCAGCGATCGCCATTCGTCTTTCCTTCCTCCAATTTCTTGGGTGATGGCTTCTCAATTTTTCATTTCATGTTGTTTGATTTTTAATTCTATGGAGAGCTAATTTTTTTTTGGTGTGATCAATCACAAACCATGATCCTAAATTTTAATCAGAGTCTTTAATATTCAGGGAAGATTTTATTTTAGCTTTATTCCAATTTTCTCTTCTTCTCTCTACCTCTAAATTTTATGCTTTAATTACTATTACTGATTAGAGTAGCTTTATTGCATAATTTTTAAGTTATAAATTTTATCTGAGGTTTTAATTGCTATAATCGATTGATATAGCATTGTAAGAGTAATTCGGCTTGGCTTGGGTGATTATCCATGCTTTGTTTTTGGTGTGGCTATAAAACAATTGTTAGGTTGTGGGTTAAGGGAGATTTCAATTAATCTATAACTTAACTTCTTGTTTAATTCTTGAATGATAATTTGAGAAATATATAATGAAACCAGAATAATAAAGTTGAATAAAATTAATTTATTTTGTGGATGATGAAGGTTAAATTTAGGTGATTGGGTTGTGATTGATTGCGCTGCTTATTCTCGGTAATTTTCTTAGTTGAATTTCCTCTATTTATTTATTTATAATTTAGTTTTTAATTTCAGCATAAAAAAAACCCCCCATTATTTACCTTTTCATAATCATAATTTAAATAGTTACTCTATTAACTCTTAGGGAGACGACCTAGGTTGCACTTTACTGCAAAATTTAGTTTTTATTAATTTTGGTGCTATTCGACAGTAGTGTCACGTACCATAATAAAAGAAACTCAAAAATTAAACCAAAGTTTTCTCTTTTTAAAATAATCAATATTTTCTTGTTAAACCTTTTAATTTGTGAAATCACATCTTAATTAGAGCAATGCCCTTTAGTCAAATCTTGGAAAATTTAGAATACCTTGATTATAATTAATAATAAGAAATCCCTGAAAAATATAACCTTGGTTGCATACTAAAAGTTCAAAATTCATTTTCTTCAGAAAATGTTAATGCTTTATATAATTTTTTTTTTTTTTTTTGAAGAAAGAAAGGTTTGGCCACAAGACCGGGGTCAAAAGAAGGATCACAGTTCACAAATACTATATATAAATAAATAATTGAAATTCCTATATAAAGAAAGAGAAATTGACATGATAATTATAGAAAAGCACAAAGTGAGGTATAGTGGAACAAGAATGAGTGGGAATGAGAGTTTTTAGACACAAACTAATCACACACGCGCATCACACACATATATACACACACATCACGAAGAACAAAACCTAATTAGCTTTGCAAAGAAGCAAATCAAAGAAAAAAACACACCACGCTAATCACTTATTAATCATAATAATCCTCCTCTGTTAGTTAAACTTGCGTACACACACACACACACACACACACACACACACACGAAAAGACAGAAACTCTGTAACATCTAACAATGGCAGGAGGCAGCCTCGAAGAGATCAAGAAGGAGAATGTCGACCTCGTATGTCCCCTCTTCTTCATCGTATTCAATTCTAGAAAGATCATTTTCGTACTCTATATATATGTATGCATGATCTTTGTTCTTTTCTTGGATATTGATGATTATCTGTGAATGATGGATTAACAGGAGCGAATACCGATAGATGAAGTGTTCAGAGAATTGAACTGTACAAAAGAGGGTTTGACGAGTGAGGAGGGGCAAAAGAGAATCGCAGTTTTTGGGCTCAACAAGCTAGAAGAGAAGAAGGCAATGATATAATAATTCAATGAATCTTTTCTCAGTTTAACTTTTTTCCCACTATTTTAGGACAAAGGTTTCTTGAATCAAGAACAAGCCTAGATAACACTTGTTCTGTTCAATCCAAACAGGAAAGCAAGTTTCTTAAATTCCTGGGCTTCATGTGGAATCCTCTCTCATGGGTCATGGAAGCAGCTGCTATCATGGCTATCGTTTTGGCCAATGGAGGGGTAACAACTCTTCAGTCTTCACACACAAAAACACATTTTTGTGTGTGTGTGCATGTGCACATATTGATTAAATTATTGGTTTTAAAACATGCAGGGCCAACCACCAGATTGGCAAGATTTCGTAGGAATTGTGGCATTGCTCATCATAAACTCCACTATTAGTTTCATAGAAGAAAACAATGCAGGTAATGCTGCTGCAGCACTTATGGCAAGCCTTGCATTGAAAACTAAGGTACTATTACTGTCCCAAAAACACAAAGCTACTATTACTCTTCCCTTATATAGCAGAGATGTTTTTGAATCCTTATTGTTCTCTAAACCGTTGTGGGGCAGGTTTTAAGGGATGGAAGGTGGACTGAACAGGATGCATCTGTGTTGGTACCTGGAGATGTAATCAGCATCAAGTTAGGAGACATTATTCCCGCAGATGCTCGTCTCTTAGAAGGAGACCCTCTGAAGATTGACCAGTCTGCACTTACAGGTGAGTCTTTGCCGGTTACGAAGAACCCATCTGACGAAATCTTCTCGGGGTCGACCGTGAAGCAAGGAGAGATTGAGGCTATTGTGATTGCTACTGGAGTACACACCTTCTTTGGAAAAGCTGCTCACTTGGTTGATAGCACTAACCAAGTAGGGCACTTTCAAAAGGTATTAAATTTTCTTTCTCGTGTTTGAGCTCTCCATATCATTATCATTGCCCTTGCAAATAGTGTTGATGAATTGGGATTGCTGCTACTTTTTTTGTGGCCAGGTGTTGACGGCCATTGGAAACTTCTGCATTTGTACAATAGCAATTGGGATTATTATAGAGATTGTAGTGATGTACCCAATACAACATCGCAAGTATAGGAGTGGAATTGACAACCTCTTGGTGCTTCTTATCGGAGGGATTCCAATTGCCATGCCAACTGTCTTATCGGTAACGATGGCTATTGGTTCTCACAGGTTGTCACAACAAGGTGCTATCACTAAGAGGATGACAGCCATTGAGGAGTTGGCTGGGATGGATGTTCTATGCAGTGACAAGACTGGCACCCTCACACTCAACAAGCTCACAGTTGACAAGAGCTTGGTCGAGGTATCAATCAAGCATGATACAAAGAAAGAAACCCCATTCTGACTTGTTATTCATAAATGTGACGTGCCCGTGTGCAGGTTTTTGTAAAAGATATAGACAAGGACACTTTAATATTGCTTGGAGCTAGAGCCTCAAGGGTGGAGAATCAAGATGCTATTGATGCTTGTATTGTTGGAATGTTGGGTGACCCGAAGGAGGTATGCTTGAACCAAAGGATCGTATGCAGAGAATCAAAGATACTTCTGATTGCAATAAATAAAAACTTCCTCTTACTTTTTGCAGGCCAGAGATGGCATCACCGAGGTGCATTTTCTTCCCTTCAATCCAGTGGACAAGCGTACGGCCATAACATACATTGATTCTGCAGGCAATTGGCACAGAGTAAGCAAAGGAGCACCAGAACAGGTAACTAGATACAGATCTTTTAGTGCAGAAAGTTGATGACACTGTATCTTTCTCCATTACATAACCTTTCTTAAAATTCTTACCAGATTGTAGAACTTTGTCAACTCAAAGAAGATGTAAAGAAAAAAGTTCACTCCATTATTGATAAGTTTGCTGAACGTGGTTTGCGTTCTCTTGCCGTATCAAGACAGGTAAGCGATGGTTCTTCTTCACTATTTATTGAATCCATGATTGAGTTGTTTAATGAAGTTTTTATCTGTCAACTTATAGGAAGTTCCGGAAAAGACCAAGGAGAGTCCAGGAGCGCCATGGCAGTTTGTGGGTCTCTTACCACTCTTTGATCCTCCAAGGCATGACAGTGCAGAGACTATCAAACGTGCTCTTCATCTTGGAGTGAATGTGAAGATGATTACTGGTGATCAGCTAGCTATTGGAAAGGAGACTGGCCGTAGGCTTGGCATGGGAAGCAACATGTATCCTTCTTCCTCACTCCTTGGTGACAATAAGGATGAGTCTATTGCTACATTGCCAATTGACGAGCTCATTGAGCAGGCTGATGGCTTTGCTGGCGTCTTTCCGGGTAAATATGCATAATACATATCTATATACATGCATAGACATATAGCATACAATTACCAACTAATGATATGCGACAAGATTTGACTAAATTGGTCAGATCAGCCTCTAGATTTTGTGTAAAAAGAATGACATGCATGTAATGATAATTTAATGTCAAGAAGTGTCTGTCAATTACTAACTAATGTCTAGTGCAGAGCACAAATATGAGATAGTGAAGCGACTACAAGATAGGAAACACATATGTGGAATGACTGGAGATGGTGTGAATGATGCTCCTGCATTGAAAAAGGCAGACATTGGGATTGCAGTGGCTGATGCAACTGATGCAGCTCGAGGTGCATCTGACATAGTTTTGACAGAACCTGGTTTAAGTGTGATTATTAGCGCAGTGTTGACAAGCCGAGCCATTTTCCAAAGAATGAAGAACTACACCATCTATGCAGTTTCTATAACAATCCGAATTGTGCTGGGCTTTCTCTTACTTGCTCTTATCTGGAAATTTGATTTCTCACCTTTTATGGTTCTGATCATTGCCATACTAAATGATGGGACCATCATGACCATTTCTAAGGACAGGGTCAAGCCATCACCTACTCCAGATTCATGGAAACTCAATGAGATTTTCGCCACTGGAATAGTACTTGGATCCTACTTGGCTGTTATGACTGTCGTCTTCTTCTGGGCCGCTCATGCTTCAGATTTCTTCACAGTAAGTTCCAAAAACAATAAATTAATCACCAACAGCATGTGAGACATAGATTATGCCATCAGCGTTAGAAATGCCAGACAACAAATGTCTTGGCCCTACCTGATAATTTATTTCACAGACATGCATACTATACAAGACCCAAAATTTTGCAGGAAAAATTCGGGGTGAAATCTATCAGAGAAAATGATAGAGCACTAACATCAGCCGTTTACCTTCAAGTGAGTATTGTGAGTCAGGCTCTCATCTTTGTTACTCGGTCAAGAAGCTGGTCTTACGTTGAACGCCCTGGTTTGTTGCTGATGGGAGCCTTTCTCATAGCACAATTGGTAAGGCTGTACACAATTAACAAATTTATGTCTTAAAAGGGTTTAAGGTTCGCTAATCCTACCTTGTGTAACAATTTACAAACTAATCAGTGGCATTTTCTTGATGAATTGATAGATCGCCACGATAATAGCGGTGTATGCAAACTGGGGATTTGCAGATATAGAAGGAATCGGATGGGGATGGGCAGGAGTAATATGGATTTACAGCATTATCTTCTACGTTCCTTTGGATTTTCTGAAATTCATAATCCGATATGCACTGAGTGGGAAGGCATGGAACAATATTACTGAGAACAGGGTACGTATCTTAACAAAAACAAAAAATCGATAAAACCTAGGTTCTTCTTCATCTTGACATTTTTCTGGTTGCTCTGTGCAATTGTAAAAGACCGCTTTCACAACGAAGAAGGATTACGGGAGAGGCGAAAGAGAAGCTCAATGGGCCACAGCTCAACGTACCCTCCACGGGCTCAATCCTCCTCAAACAGAGCAAACCCTCAATGACATGAGCTCCTATGGCGAACTATCTGAACTCGCAGAACAAGCAAGGAAACGCGCTGAAGTTGCAAGGTAAAATCTTCTCGATTCAAACAATTATCAAAATACATGTATGTTTGTGAATTCAGTCTCAGAATCTGTCAAAGTTACTGAGAGATTTACCTATTGGATGATTATAGGTTGAGGGAGCTTCACACGTTGAAGGGTCACGTGGAATCGGTGGTGAAACTGAAGGGGCTTGACATAGACACGATTCAGCAACACTACACAGTTTGAAAGAGAGAAACAAGAAGCTTTTTAGTTTTGACCGACGATAGGTTTAGAGGAGAAAAATTAGATTGACTTTGGTTAAAGTGTCATTGTAATAAGGTTGTCCGTTTTGAACATTCTTCTATTGAATTGGCCCTTTTATAGGGCATGGTCTCCAAAGCCTATGAGATTGTGCCCCAAGCAATCCAAGGTTGGTACTTGGTATCGTTAAGAGACCCAATAATTTTGCCCCAGTAGTTCGCTAGCGGTTCACTTTATTCTTTGATTTATTGTGCTGTCTATGAGGGATAAATCAATAAACTTACTTTTTGTATTTCTTCATCTCTCTCTGTTTTTTTTTTTTGGCCAATTTTTATTTTCCTTCTTTTGAATAATTACTTCTTTCTGTCTAAAATGTGGGTTACTTTGAACTATCTTCATATGTATTAAGAAAAGTAGTTAAAAATAATTTATAATTTGTATAATTAAATAAGTAAAAAATTATCATTATTTTTCAATTAAAATTATTTATCTTAATTATATTTATTTTTATATAATATCCCTTTACAATATAATTAATAATGACATTTGTGGAAAAAAAAAACTCAATGCATTTGAGTTTTTACAAAGCATCTTAAATTTTAGACCAATATTAGTTGATAAAAAATGTCATATTTCCCCATTTTTTTAATATAAAAGAAACTACTACTGTGTCTCTTTTTTTTATTATAAACAAAACTATAAATTTTAAGAAGTATTTATTACTTTTTTTAAATATTCCTCATAAAATTAATGTTTATATTTTACTAAATAAAATTGTTTCCTTAATTATAGGATAATTTAGTATAATTTTTTAAATTTCAAACATAATTAATATACTTAATTAATCAACTTTCTTAAATTGTATGACTTGATATTTTCTCTTATATTTAAAATCTGAGGGAGTATATTTTAGACTAGATGGAGTAGTTGAAAGTTTAAATTCACATTATGATGATGAATATCGTATGCCAATGGATTCCTAGTTTAATTAACTTAATCAGTGTTATCGTATTCGCATACCAACTTTCTTATTATGACATTATATTCCTGTTTCGTAAAAGTTTTCTACCTTGCTGTTGCGAAGCCCCTTCAGCATTATATGAAGTAATCATTATCAATCAAACAAGCACGATGTCGTTTCAGGATGATTAAGGAAAGAATATATATATATATATATATATATAAAATGAAATCTGTTAACTCGTTCAAAACTCTTGATCAAACCAGTTTAGGAACTGGTTCATCAGTTTACTGGTTTGACAAGTCAACTGAGGAGTGGTGTTTTAACACCATGTTTTAATGAATTAATTTTCAGTATATGCATGTTGAATTACCCGCTCACATGTCTCCGCGATCGAACAGCTTTTGAAAGTAGACATTATTACCAGGTTCTGTATAGTGAGCCCATCCCTACACACGCGTCCCGAAATCATGCATATTTCAATTTCATTGATCCTTAGCCTTTCCTCTTTCATGTTGACAATTAGACCATTAGAGAGAAAACCCTAATCCTTTCCTCTTTCATGTTGAGAGCCGACCCACAGAACAGAGGAGCCCAAAAAGGCTTCATGACCAGACACAGCAAATGGTAGAAAAGAAACGACCCTCTACGTCTCACCTACCTTTCCTCCTTCCTCTCTCTCTCTCTCTCTCTCTCTCTCTCTCTCTCTCTCTTGTCGCCATCGGTCTCGATCGAGCTCGAGCTTGTAGCCATGCAGGATTGCTGCACCTTGAACTATAGTGAGAGGACCATCCATCGTCCTCTCTAATCTCCCACATATCAGCGTTTTGGGCTATAAATTAAAGAGAAGCTAGAAGAAGAAGAAGATTGGGATTTGGGAGCGAGGGAGAGTTTGAATTATAAAAACATCGATTCAGAAAATCTGGAAGGAACGCACAAGAAGAAGAAAGGCAAGGAGTTGTGAATGAACCTCCTGTTCTGGAATTTAATTTCGAACAGTGACAGGTAATATCTTCACATTAGAATGGATTCAATGCCTTTTCTTTTAATATTTATGGTGATTTTTGTATGATGCTGGGGCTGTTGTTGATCTTAATTGGATTCTATCTCGGTGTTCTATGTTATTTGGATTGTAAAGTGTCACATTTTGCGGAGTCTCTAGCTTGTGCCCCCAAGTGTTCTATGCTATCTACGTGAGAGTTTTCTCATGTTTGTTTCTTTTGTTTTTACAAATCGTGTATTTCACCGCTTCTGCTTTTGATTGTGATTGGTGCAAGTCCATGAATTAATTCAAAAAGTGTCTAAGGGAGTATGTACAGTAATAGTTATCTATTTAATCAAATGGATGTCTGAGATTTTGTGATATGATACTCATAAGCTAAATCTCAAACTTTAAAGAAAACAATGTATGTGGAGGGCTAATTGTAAGAATTGCTTTGAATTTTTGAGGAAAATAAATCTTGATAATTTTTAAATGTTGATAAAATTCAATAACTATAATTGGGACACTCAATAAATGAGTAAATTCTTTTGAATTTTGTCATATGATACTCCTAAACACTAAATCTCAATTTTTTTTAAAGCCTTTGAATTAAAAAATATATTTTAATAGTTATTAAATATAGATGAAATTTAATTACTATAATTGAAACATTTGTTGAGTGATCCCAACTCTAAATCCCATTGCAACACCCCTCCTCTGTAAGGCTTCAAAGGGCTTGGGCATAATTTTTCATTAAACTATTTATATTCATTGTATTTAAAGTACCACATGAGACCTATGAATCTCTGTAAGTAGATAAGATTAATGGAGTTGTTGTATCCGACAATAAGTCACCATAGGCCGCATAACTAGTGTTGTGCAAAAGCTCGATAATCCTATCCAATCCAGTATAACTTGAATAAATTTGATTTGGTCCTATGAAAAAATTGACTCAAAGGACTTAAAGGACTAACAAGAGTAAATTTTATATTTGGGTGAAACTGGACAAAAAACTAAGTTTTCATACTACTTGGTTTGGTACCATAAAATTATGTAAATCTAATTATAATTATTTTTATTTTTTAATATAATTGAAAGTGATGTCTAAAACTTGATTGTTGAATGCAATGTCTTACTTCATTCCCTAATTTCCTACCTCTCTTTTCTTCCTTCACTCTTCACTCCTTCTTCATGCCGCATGGAAGCAAGAACTAGCAGTCCTCTAGCCCTAGCCTCTCTCATGTAGTACGCCATGTTGCTTCTTTGAGTGATGCTCATGTTCTTCTAATATCTGATTCGGTGGCTCCTGTTCTTCACCATTTATTGTGCTGCTCATGTTGCATGGTTGTGGGTCTTTTAATATATGATTATAAGTATTTTTATTATTTTAATTGAATTTATTAAGTTGAAATGAATTCTTGTCTCTCTTAAAAAAATGAGAAAAAAGACAAAGAGATGCATTGGACTGGAATCAGTTTTCTAATTTTATAGACTAAGTCTGGTCTTGTTCAACTTTATATTATGTTTAGACAAGATTAAATTACAAATTGTTTAATCTAATTCTTTTTATAAAAGAGATTAGGTTTTGGGCTGGCCTATGTCTTGTCATATTAGTCTTTTGTGCAGCCCTAGCCATAACAATTAAAGTTTGTTGGAAAGTATAACCAAAAAGGTATATTTTTTATTTATTCTCCAAAAATTTAGAAAATTCAAATTATTGTATATATACATATAGAAAAAAAAATGTTGTTTTATCATTATTATTTCCTACAAATAAAAATTTAAATTTAAACAATCATGCATCATTTATATAGTATCATAGGGCGGGGTGAGACGAGTCTTCAGTTCTCTTAGATATTATTGAACCATTTTTTATAAAATGAATAAATAAATTTTTCAAATATTATTCTATAGTATTGGACCATTTTTCCTTCTTTTTAAATGGTTTAAAGATTTTTTTTTAAATGTTCGTGAAGAGTGAAGACTATTTTTAACATTGGTCTCATTTTGAAAAACGATTTTTTAATTTTCAGGCCATTTGCACCCGTTGCCATCTGTTATTTCCAATCTTAATAGAGATGACGACGTGGCAGAATTGTTTCTCCGATCTGGTAACCATTGATTGAAACTTTTCTATGGTGTTAGTAATTAGTTTGATTATTCCTCTTAAAGGTTTCATATCCATGTTCCCATATATAGACACACTTATGCCCTTCTAATTATTTCAATAGAAATGGAAAAACAAAAACAAAAAAGTACAACCACTCGAATGGTCTAACATTAAAATGAATTGACTTTTTAAATTTATTTTATTTTAAAAATAACTCCCTCCTATCCATATTATATGAAACATTTATAACAATTTTATTAAAATTAAAGAATGTGGTTAAGTCGTTACTTTATCTGAAAAATTGAAAAAAATTAATTTTATCCATATTTAAATAAAAATTCTAAAATTTACACTATATTCTCTCTCTTATAAAATCGGCTATCAATCTCTTCTAAAAGTCCTTTTCATCTTTCTGAGCTAGTTAATTAATATATAAAACTATAGAACTATCAATTTATTGTATACTCCCTCCAATTTTTAATATAAAATATATTTTAGAAGTTTTGTTTGATTCTTAATATAAAATATCTTATAAAGTTTAATGAATAATTAATGAGTTATTTCTAAGAATATGTGCATATCCTATTGGTTTATTTGATGATATATTTGACTTTAATTTAAAGATAAATTACTAATTAATTTTAATAAAAGGTAATTTAGAATTTTTATGTAAATTATTTTTAAACAAAAAAAAGATTTTAAATAATTTTAACAACATTTCTTAATTCTTTGATGATGTAGTTAAAAGTGTTTTCAGGAGTCAGATTACATCGAACAGTGATGTTTTGATTTTCCTCATAGGATGTGGAGAAGACCGATTCTTTCAATGAACTATTCAGCATAAATAACTCTACAATTGATCCTGAGGATTATGACTTCCTTAAGGACTTCATTCACCAACCTCCTCACTTCTCTTCCATGAGTCACACTACTCATCAGTCTCCCCTTCTCGAAAGCATCGCCGCCGTCAGTAACGACTCCTCCGCCAGCCAACCGAAGCATAACAGCCCGAGTTCGATCATCTCAGGACTCAGTACTATCTCCGACAAACCGCCGGCAAACTCATCTTCTCATCATCAGTCAACTTACATTCTGTCTTTTGATAACTCAACGGTATTACCGGCCGCCAGCCTGAGAAACATGAACCTGAGAACAAGCGTGCTTCGCTGAAACGGACTCCGCCAGAAAGCCGTAACAGTGACCCAAAGGCCAATCAAAGGACGAGGAAGACGAGAAGTTTATCCGAGTCGCTGGATCATATAATGTCTGAGAGAAAAAGAAGACAAGAACTCACTGAGAAGTTCATTGCTCTTTCTGCTACAATTCCTGGTCTCAAGAAGGTCAGTTTCATTCATTTCATTATATATGTCTTCACATTTTATTTTTCATAATATATATGAGCCGGGCCATCGAGTTCGAGCAGCTTGTTTAGACTTTAGACTTGGTATTTTTCTCTGATTTTTTTTTTACTATGGGGTTGAAATTATTGAAAATTATATTAAGTGATCTAAATAATGAATCAAAAATATGAATTTTCACAAGATGATATTAATCCATCAATGGTATATAAGGGGTGAAACCAACCCCAAAACTACATGGAGACTCATAAAATGAGGACCTACGTGTTAACTTCCATTTTTAATTAGGATTCACTGCAAATAGATACATGAAGTGAATGACTCTTTGATGGTTTATACATATAGACTAGAGTTTCGCCTTACATTGAGTGAATTAACGTGACACAATTATCACTAACTCTACTCACTAATAACTAATTAAGCAATCTTTCATTCTCAGAGTTGAGATCTGTAGTCAAATGGATTACTGACTTAGAGGATTTCGGTTCCCCAAGCTTTTCTGGCATCACTTTAGTCTTCAATGATCCCAAATTGATCAAGAATTAATCTAAATTGGAGAGCTGAACACGCCCAGAAAAGCCATATGCTTTGGAAGGATATTAATCACCAGTAATAGCCAGATGCTCTGTTGCTATTACTGGTTTGAAGAATTTCCAGAAAGCTGCCCTCACTGGTACAGATCTTTAGGTTATAGGATTAATGATCGTCGTGTTTATTATATTAACTTACAGTACTGCTACTAATTACATTCTTTGCTCTACGGTTGTTATCATTAATTCAAAAAAAAAACTAATTAATTAAACAATATTTCAACAAATTGTTTTTCTGTTGAAATTGTTAATATTATTACAATAATTAAAAATTTAAAAAAAGATTGTTGGAATATTGGTTTTCCAACAAATTTTTTTTGTTTAAATTTTTAATTATTGTAATAATATTAACAATTTCAAGAAAAAAAAATTTTGGAATATTGGTTTTTAATTTTTTTTGTTGAAATTGTTAATATTATTACAATAATTAAAAATTTAAACAAAGAACTAAAAATAGTTACATACGACCTTTCAAATCAACCCCGACTTCTGTCAATGAGGACCAAAGTTTTTCTTTAAAAAAAAAAATGATCAATTTAGGATATGCAAGTCTATTGATTTAGGATCTTAAGGGTCGAACTAACTCTTGTTAACGGGTCTGAAATCAAGTCAAATTTGATCATTCTTAGAATTAAACCAGGTGTAAGGTTTGGTTATCAAAATAGAATGAAATAGATTGAAAAAATTAAAAATAAAAATGAAATTATTAAAAGAGATGGTGAACCATATTTATAAAAAAGATGAATAATTTAGTTTATAGGATTGAGAATTATAATTTATGATATTTTTTAAGAATGTGATGATTCTCATAATTGTAATATATGTTAGTAAGTTTTTTATATTAATTTTTTAATTAATTTCATTTCATTTTTATTTTTATAACCAAAAGGACCTAAGTGTTTTGGTGATGATGCACGTGTATATATGACAGATTGACAAGTCGTCAGTATTGAGCGAAGCGATCAACTACGTGAAGAAACTTCAAGAACGAGTGAGAGAGTTAGAGAAACAGAAGAAGAAGATGAGCACCGAGTTACCATCATTGTCAAGCATGAAGAAATTACATCACCATCATCATCAAGACACAACATCATCTTCTGAAACAATGACACTGGGCTCTGAATCTGATCATGATGATGATGATGATGATGATGAGTGCTTCAGAATGAACGAAGCATTGCCTGAAGTTGAAGCGAGAGTTTCACAGAAGGAGATTCTGATCAGGATCCACTGTGCGAAGCAAAACATTGTGATGCTTAATATATTGGCCGAACTCAAAAGCCTCCATTTCTCCATCATCAGTACCAGCGTCTTAACATTTGCAAATTCTGCTCTTGACATTACCATCATTGCTGAGGTACGCATCCAGCTATATCTATATATGTTTGAGAAAATTAATCATTTGGGAATGACAGATAAATCCTTCTGAAATAAGAAAATGACAACTTAATCTCACAAAATGCGCTAATGATAATGAGATCTCAAGAGATATTTGAAATTAAACTTGAATGTAAAATTACTTTAGTATCCTCTGTAATTTAAAAAATTTTAATTTTTAAATTATTTTAATTATTGGTAGAACTAAGCTTGTGAGTGCTTATACCAAATTTGTAAACGATATAAAATTAGTTGAAATTTAATGATAAAAAGTGATTTTCTAAATCGTTTTAGTCATTGATAAAACCAAAAAATATAAATATTTATATTAAATTTGTGAACCATATAAAATTAGTTACGTTTTATTGAATAAAAAAATTTGTTGATAAAAAGTTATGATTTCTTAAATCGTTTTAATTATTAGTGAAACCAAACTTACAAATATTTATATTAAACTTATAAAGTATATAAAATTAGTTAGATTTTATTGAACGAAGAAATTTGCTGATAGAAAGTTGTGATTTTCTAAATTGTTTTAGTTATTAGTAAAATCAAACTTGTGAATACTTATACCAAACTTGTAAATCATATAAAATTAGTTATAGATGAGTACTAAAATAATTTCACATAAAAATTTAATCTCAAAGAAGTCCCTTAAAATCTCACTATTATAATCATATTTTATGAGGCCAAATTGTTATTTTTTTATTTTAGAGAAATTTATCTATCATTCTCCTTAATCATTTTGGCTTTATAGTTTTGACTAAGTTAAAACTTAATCACTAAACTTTGATTCGATTATAACTTAATCATTATAGTTTTATCTATTTAAAATGTTGGTACCTACATTAGAAAATAAAATTATAAAGCATAAATTTATTATTAAAGCTCAAGAAATAATGTTTTAAATAGTGACTAAAATTGTAGGGAATATGTTACACTAAGTTAAGGTTCAAGAACTAAGTCATCCTGACGGAATCAAATTATAAAAAATATTAAATTATATCAAGTTAAAGTTTAAAAGTTAAGCTACAATTGAATTAAAAATATTTTAAACTAAGTGATTCTTTTTTTTTTTTATGTTGCTTCCATATGCACATAAAATTTTAATCAATTCATATAATTTAAAAAAGTTGGTTATGAATAATAATTATATCTAAAGTTAAAAAAGTGAACTAAGTTATCTTTGTAATTAATAAAATAGGTTTGTGTAAGGAAAATAAACTTTGATTTTTGAGGGGCCATGTAAACAAAAAAAATATAAGTATTTACTATCTAACATGTGGCCCTAATTTGATGTGGTTTGTTATTGTTGTGTGTGAAGGTCGAGGAACATAAAATAACGTTGAAGGAGCTTGTTGAAAAGCTTCGATTGGCTCTGTTGAAGACATCTGGCAACCAACAGTGATCCGAGTTCTAGCATAATTATGATTGTTTGAAATTAATTATATGATGACAATCACTACTACTAGAAAAATTAAATATCATTAAATATCATTTTTTATAATTAAATTATATTTTAATTATAAAATTTATCCCTTACTAAATTTATAATTAAAAAAACTCGTTAAATTTAATAAAAAATTATATTTTCCTCACACTATTTAGTGAAAAATTCAATTCATAGCTAAAAAAGGGTTCGTTAAATTTAACAAAAAATTATATTTTTCTCGCTAATTAGTGAGGGAATCCCTTGCTAAAATTAGCCAGGGACTGAATTCTTCACTAAATATATTTATATTTAAAAATAATTATATCACATCACCCACCATGTGTGATGTCAACTTGTGACATGTCATCAACAACCTCATACTTTGTCAACCACCATGTCACCTATCATCTCATGCCCTATCACCCACTACATGTGCGACAATTCATGACACGTCATTGTCCACCTTACACTATGTTACTTGCTTTTTACCATATCATATATTCATCATGTTTATGCCAAAGCTAAGGTTTGAACCCTTAACCTCATACCTTTCAAGCTTTATACTCTTTTTCTTTCTCAGTTAAACTAAAAGACACCTATAAATATTATATGATAAATTAAATATATATATATATATATATTATTTAACTACATAAATATATCAAATAATATATTATAAAAATTCACACATATACATATTAAATTTTATTTTTAATTATTAATATGTTAAAAATATTTATATTTTATTTAAATTATTCTTTATATTATATTTTTAATAAAATATTATTTTATTAATGAAAATCAACTTAAAATAAAGAAAATATTAAATAATTTTATTATGAATATTTTAGTTAATTTTTAAATTTAATTATTATTTTTAAATAAAAATAATTAAATGTATAATTAAAATTTATTGTCAAAAGGTAATTTTTTTTATAGCAATTAGTTAAGGATAGAATCTCTCGCTAAATCCCTAGCTAATTATTTTATTTGAGAGAGAAATTAACAGTTCCTTATTATTTTTCTCGCTAATTCTCTTATTTTAGAGAGGAATTGATAGTCCCTCACTAATTTCCTCGCTAATTTTAAGTTAAGTTACGAAATCAACATCCCTCGTTAATTTTCTCACTAACTTAATATTTTGGAGAGGAATAAATAATCCTTCGCTAAATTTTCTCACTAATTTTTATTTTTTTAATAGTGAATATATGTAAATAATATCTTGGTCTCTCATCATCAATAATAATATATCCACTGCAAATTTTAGTCGGTTCAGGTTAATTATTTTGTGCTATTAATAAGTAATATATCCGTTTTTATAACTTTGAAGTTTGAACAATAGTGATACTCTTTTCCCGATGCCATAACTGTAGTCCTCTTCCCTTTCTAATTATTCTTTTATTTTATTTTAATTACAGATACTATACATTTATTTTTAAAACAAATATGATCTTTCTTTAAAATTAATACCTAAAAGTCGCAAAACACAAATTTTTCTTTTATTTTTAAGATTTTATTCTCATCTATACAACAGTTATTTAACCATTAAATCACATATATAAAAGAAGTAACTATTTAAATATATGTTATTTAAAAATAATTCAAGTTACCAAAAAAATAATGTATATATATTTTTATTTCTTTTACTATTTTAAAATTTTTAGTTATGAAAACTTATTGATTCAGTAATTTTTTTAAAAAAATTAAATATATAAATTGATTAAAATAATATTTCAAAAAGGCATATACAAAAACTCTAAATGAAACAGGAACTTAGTATAATAAAAAAAATTAGTCATCATAATTTATGTTTATTTTATAAAAATATTATTAATTTTAGCACAACATTTTTAAATTATTTATTTAAATAATTTCATACTTAATTATTTAAAATTCCTTAAGCTGTGAGAGAGAGATTAGACGATTCCATTTCAATGGAAAATTAAAAATTTAATTTTTTTAACATAATTAAAAATAAAAATTTATTTATTTTGAAATATTTAATGAAATATTCTTAATTATATTAAAAGTTGGATTCAAGTGTAGTTGTTGGAAGCAAAACATAGATCTATGTAATTTTAATGAAGCAAAACGGAGCTTGTGGCCTTGTGCCACAATGGCACCAACACTCCTCCCATAACAAGGAGGATGTTCGAGCCCAAAGTGGGTAATCATGGAGAGTGTGTGAGTTTTCTTCCTATGAGAAGAAGTGTAAAAAAAAAAAAAAAAACAAAATAAAACAAAATGGAGATAAGTACATTTTACTCTAAAAAATATACTTTACTTAATATATACATAGAGAGTGCCATTAATAAGGTGAGGCCTAATGGGTTGCTCCCTCCATTTAAAAATATAAAATATTTTTTAAAAAGTTAAATGTTCAAAAGTGTCATATTGATAGTGACTTTATATTTATTATAGAGTGTTTAATAAAGGTAAATATAAAAAGATATGGTTAGTTGAAAAGTCGAAAACTATTTTATTGAAGGTAAGATTTAGTTAAAAATATCTTATATTTTTAAACGGAGAGAGTATCTTTTTAGATTTTGTATACTTTGAGCACCAAGATTTAAAAAATAAATAATTTTTGTATAAAAAATTTTTTAAGCTCTGTCTTTATAAGTCTTATAAAAATTGGCTCGAGTTCATATTAGCCTTTAAGCCCTTATAACTTTTTAAAAAATTTTATTTATATAATTTGCTTAAAGTTTTGAATTAATATATGAAAATAATATAATTTGTTAAATATTTATTTCAGGTGATAAAGATGAAATTGGTAAGGTTGTTGAAATAATGTCATCTTCAATTGTTTAGAGATTGCCCTCACGCAGCAGAAAAGTGGGCTTGCTTCGTTAATTTGAACGTTTGGGCTCCCTTCAACGGTATGAATAGAGAGGAGTGGTTCAAGTGGAATTTACAAAATGAGGCTGGCAAAGATATTAGAAAAACAAGTTCATTGGAATGATTTATTTAGGCATATATGTTGGGAAATTTGGTGCTCTAGATGCAAACAGGTGTTCTTTGATGAAAAGGTTGAATTTATGTGTCTGGGACATGCAACACTCTACAAGGTTAGAAGTGACCTACAAGGTTATAAGGATTATGGATGGTGTTAGTAATTATGGAGTAGTGAGAGATCATAATGCTGATTGGGTTTGTGGCTTTAATGCAAATATTGGTAATTACCATCCTCCTATAACCGAAGTGATAGGTATTATTTATGGTCTTCAATTATGTTGGAAAAGGAACCTCCTTAATGTGCGAATCTACACAAAGCGATCAACATGATTATGAGAAAATGATATTTCCCATCACTTGTTTAGAGAGATTATTTATCAAGCTAGGGTTTATTCTTTTAGGATTGGAGCATTTACTTGAATTTCAAGTTTAGGGAGACTAACTCTTGTGCTCATTTATTGGCAACTTAGGTTCAAAATGACTATATATGTTATGTTACCTTTGATTAACCTTCATCTCTTTTGTGTCATGGTAGTGAATGATAAGAGGAGATTGTTAGACTCTTGTGTAATATTCTTCGATTAAGGATCTACTTTTCATTCAAAAAATAACACCATCTCTTCCAAGTGGACTTTCATTTTAGGAGTCTAATGTTTTATTTTTGAATGAAAATTGATGATAATAAGTACTAAAAAATATTTACAGTTTGGAGATAGACAATTTAAATTGATATGATTTATATTATACTCTAGAGTCTACATTATTTTAATTACACTTAGGAGATTTTATATTATTATCTTTTATATATTAATTAAGGTACTCTATAATTTATATATGTATTAGTATAATTAAAAAATTTTAATTCAAAAATAAACAAAAAAATTACTCTAGCTCTTAGGCCTCACTCTAAACCTAGTCAATGGGAGCTGTACTTGAGAAAATTTCTAATTGTAGGGAAGGAGGATTTATGAGCATGAGCCTTTAAAAATCAAACTTAGACCAACCCACACAGAGTAGAATATAAAACAAAAATAAAAATATCAGTTAATTAAAATTATTGTATTATTAATATTAATAATTTGAAAGCCGGACCACAAAAAAAAAAAACCATTTAAAATGTTGGGTTACTTTAGACCACCCTAAACCAGTCTTTAAACCAAAAACAGAACCTAAAGTTAAGCCTCGAATGAGATTAAGTTCTTAAGAGTTAGACAGTTCAAAATGTCCCTCCATTTTCTCCTTTTAACTCTAATATTTTGATGTTTGACACTTATGAATGAGGACATCAACCCTCTTCCATGGCTAACTCCTAAGAAGAGAAAAGAAGAAGAAGAAGAAGAAGTAAAAGAAACTGTCCGCGAAGAAGGAGAAGAAAACCTTGCATGTGCCACTGTAGTGGTTGAGTGATGCCGAATCTTGCTGATTTTCATCCACAACAAGGAAGCCAGTCGCATATTTTTTAGCACATGAAGATGGAAAACGCAAGGTCCAAGGAGGAAGGGAGGGCGCAACATGTGAAGAGAGGAAAAGTTGAGGAAAAAATTAAAAATCTACTAGCTAAATGAGTGAAATGTTCAAACAACTAATAAAATATTTAAAATAATACTCCCTCTTTCTTTATATAGGATATTTTTAAAAGATTTATTTTGATTCTAAATATAACGAATGTCATAATATTTTTAAATAATAAAATAATTTCAGCCTCATTTAAAAAAAAGATATTAATTACTTACTCCGTTAAAAAATGTAAGATATTTTTTGAAAAGTTGAATGTTAAAATATGTAATAATCATTATCTTTTTTTTTAAAGTGTCCCTATTGATAATAAATTTATATTTATTGTAGGATGTTTAATAGGGGTAAATATAAAAAGATAAAATTAATTTAAAAATAGATAATTATTTTATTTGGAAGTGAGGTTTGATAAAAAATATTTTACAGAGAAAATATATGTTTTACTTGTTCTTGCCATATATTATTAAAATAAATTTAAAAATTATTATAATTTAATATGATTTTAATTAAATAGTGAATTTTAATGGGCAAGCGGTTGAAAGCATCTACATAAGGATAAGATGCCGCATTAATTTCTTTTGCTAGCTTTCTTGTCCACTATTCAGACAGAATCGCTTGATAAACATCGTGTTACCATAATGTCATTACTCTCTTTTTAAAAAACTAACTCATTAAAGTATGCAGTATATCCACTTATATAATTAAGATCCTTTCCAAATCACTCTAATGTAGGACTTGATAGCTCTCTCAGCCAATCTATGACACCCCCATCACGAGTGGCCCATTAGAGGGCCCACCAACTGGGCAAACTCAAATCTAACTTTGATACTATTTTATCACGAGGTCATTACTCTCTTTTCAAAAAGCGAGCTTACTGAGGTGTGCACCGCACCTGCTTATATAATCAGGATCCTCCTCAAATTCCTTTGATGTGAGACTTGATGGCATGCTCCCATAGGTTGATCTTCCTTTATTTCTTTTCCAATAATCTTGCCAATGATTTAAAATTATTTTTCAAATAATTGTATATTATATTTATCAAAATAAAAAAATAAAAAATAACAATACTAAATACTTTCTTAGTTTTAAAAAATATTTTTTAAGGGGTTGAATGTTAAAAAATATAAAATATTTTTAAAAATTTAAGGTATAATCATCGTATTTTTTAAAAGTGTCCCTATTAAATAAATCACTTTATATTTATTTTAAGGTGAAATATTTTATTAAATATGGATAGATATAGAAAAATAGGGTTAGTTTAAAAATAAGTAAATATTTCATTAGAGGTGAAATTCTATTAAAAATATCTTATATTTTTTAGAGAGTATAAATTATTTTTTATGCATATTAGAGAATAAATATTATGATATTCATCACCTCTAATAAGATTTGAATAGTTCAAATTTAGATTTTTCATTGTCATTTTATATTTATTAAAATAAAAATATATAAATATATATATAAATATTTAATAAATCTATTTATCTTTATCACCAATCTGATCAGTATGTATTTAATTTAAATAACCTAATTTAATATTAATTTTTAATAATTTTTTCAAATTAATTATTCAAATGTATTAGAGATTTATAGATATAATTAGAAAGATTTAATTTAATATTAAAAATTTTATAATTTTAACAAGTTGACCATATAAATATACTTTCAATAGTCTAAATTTAATATTATAATTTTTTTATAATTTTTATGTTAATAAATATAATATAAAAATATTTAAAAAATAATATTAAATTAACAGTAGATATCAGTAGATATCATTTAAAGGGAAATGAAGGATCCAAATTACCCTATAGAATGATGAGCAAGCGATGCTCATCAATCATAGGGGTGAGCATCGGTCAGTTCGGTTCGGTCTCAAAATATGCAGAACCGATCGATCGAATAACACTGAAAATAAAAACCAAATCGAACCGAACAAGCCAATCGAACTGAATAAGGACCAAACTGAAATTTGATAATTCGGTTTGGTCGGTTAATTCGGTTTTTCAGTTTGAGCCTATTTTTTAAATATTAAAACAAACAACACTACAAAATTGGGCCTTTTTTTATTTTTTTTTTTCAATATGAGCCCATTTTAATTTTACCCATATGACATAAAGCCCAAATATTATAAAGGCATGGATAATCAAATGAACAACCATAAATAAACATCGATGATCAAATAATAGCCTCATAATCCAGTCACAATACCTATTGATGAGAGTGACTGATTGAAATGGGGTTTCAAGTGATGTTATTATTTTTTATTCTTTATTAAAATAACAAATAAAAATAAAAATAAAATAATTTATAAATTAAATATAATTTATAAATTAATAAATTATATGTAATTCGGTCGGTTCGGTCTATTCGATTTTAAATTTTATTAACCGAATCGAACCGATCAACCGAAATATTTAAAATAAAAAAATCGAATCGAATCGAAAAATCAAATAGATCGAATCAAATAGACAAAATTCGATTCGATTCGATTTTCAGTTTCGATTTGGTTTTGCTCACCCCTAATCAATCATGATGAGCACCAAATGTGGTTCCTTATTCTTACTTTTAGGAGAATAAAATGAATGACTATTATATGCATTATATCTTATTTTAATATTTGTAAAAAAAGTCAAGGTTAACTCTTATTCCTTAACGTTACTTAAAAGTTTATTGTGTATCATAAATTCAATCATAAATTAATTATATCTTTTAATATTAAAAATTCTTTTTCTCATCATCAGAATGTTAACTTGTCATTACTTCATTATTAGGGTCTATATTGCATTTTTATTATTTTTTATTATAAAATATTAGGTTAAAAGTTATTTTTATTTCTTAACTTTACCACAAAAGGGTTAGTAGATGCCTTGTACTCAAATATTTTATAATTTTTTTAAAAAAATGCAATGTGAGGCCTACTATGTGAGGCCTACTAAAATTATCAGAAAGTGAATGTTCGGGTAATAAAAAAGAGAATCTTAAATGATAAATGATAAAATTAACTTATAATTAAATTTAAATTGCTCAATAACTCTTCAAATAAAGTTGAAAGGTAAAAATGACTCTTGATCCTTATAAAGATATTTTTTATTTTGAGTTTTTAAATATGTTTTAAATTTTATTTTTATTTGTTTTAAAAAATTTTATTAAATTATTTGAATTTTTTTATTATTATTAATTTTTAGTTAATTATTCTGTCATCGTTTTAACCGTTGGCCCCAAGACTTTGAGTTGGATCATGTAAATTATGGACTGCTAATTTTTCTGATTCAACGATTGGTTCAGCGTTTAAAAGGCCACAGTTCATGTCAATTAGCAGGTAAATCAGTCCTTTTGATTTTTTGACAAATTTAGTGATGCCTTGTATATGTAGCCACCGCCCACAGGATAAATGAGTTCTACGATTCAACCAACAAAACTGCCACACCTCGTTCTAGTAATTTCTTTCGTTTCCATTTCCTCACCCAAACTCTGTTTTCTAGATCTGAAATGGATGTACAAGGCCACGAAGAATCGAAGATGGAGAACAATTTCTCGCAACCTGAAAATTCTGTTATTAATCTCAAACAGCTTCCCCCGATAGATCCATCCACAATCGTCAACTCGTCCTTCAACGTAATCCTCTGTCTCTCTCATCCAATTTTTTATTTTTCGCTTTTTTCCCCCTGAAAGTCGTATATATATTTGAGAAATTTCCGTTCTCCTGTATGTTGACGTTATTTTGGTTTTCCAGGGTAAATCGAGACAATCTGGCGCCGGTTCTGCTCATAAAAACGTGAAGCCCAACTTTAATAGGGGACTGAAGTCGTTTAAATCTGTCCAAGCACTCAGAAAATCAAATTCTGGCTCAATTTCATCTGGCAAAACAAGTGAGACCCCTTGGAACACCACCTCGGATTCAAACTCTGCAGACGATGGTATAGAACTGGCTTTTGAGTTATTGTTTTCTATTTGTTTTTGTTCTTTGTGTATACACCCATCGTCCTCCTTCGGGCTTTTTATTTATTTATTTATTTGATCGATTTCCTCGAGTATTTCCTCTGGAGGAAGGAAGTCAAAGATATCCTTGAAATTCTGCTATTATTCTTTTGAGAATATAAAACGAGGACCCTATAGCGCCCAAATACCCCATAACAAAACTCTATAACTATATGCCCCACCAGTCTTTTACAATAATGTGTTTTGTTCTTTCAAAATCCTTCTTCTTTCGCTGGGTCAGATTGGTAAGTAATATACACTGCCAAATTTTCGACCAGATAGATAGGAGAACTTTGTTTTATAAAAACAATTACTCGATATTCATGGACCGAGCCGGTAGGACTCCGGGCTTGAATTTGAGACCATTCATTAAGCCAGCACAATCCCTTACCAGTTGAGCTACATGCTCATCGGTGATAGATAGGAGTACTTTCTTCTAAGGTTTCTTTTGATTTTGGATTTTCCGTGGTCGGGCAGAGGAGATGCTTTCCTTTTGACTTGTGCTTTTTCTTCTTCCTTTTTTTTCCCAATCATTCTGCCGTTTAATATTTTGTTCACAATTTTCATTTAAATATGCCACTGGAGCATTATAACACTCCTTCTCTGGATTTAGGTATGAAGCAAGGATCTGCTAGGTCAAATCTGTATGAGGTCTGTGCTGCAAACCATTGGAAGCCCCCTGCATTTGATTGCTGCAAAGAGGAAGGCCCTAGTCATCAAAAAATGTATATCCAACTGCTTCTGCTTGATATTTTATTATGTAAATTAACTTAAAATATCTGCAGTGTAGTCTTTTAGTTCTACAGTGCATTTGTTTATATTCTATCATAAACAACTGATATGTAATTATGCTTCTCATAAGAAAATTCTGGGAGTGAATACAAGCCACATTTTGTGAGTTGGCTCCTGAATGTCAGATGTCAATGAAACCAACCAGACTAATATCAAGAAACTAACATTGTGTGGAAAACCATACCGTGTAGTGACCAAGTTGGGTATATTGATGAGGAAGAGAAGTTTTCAAAGTTTACTTTACCTGGAGCTATACAACATAGAGGCATACAAAAAATTTCCAGTTTATTGGATGAATTCTCAGATATAAACTTGCACTGTGTATAGGATGAGGGTGATCGTATAAGCAAATATAATCCATGCTTATATTTCCATGGTTGTTGGTGCGCCAGCAGAATTGTGTAAGCTTATACAAGTAGGACTTTTTATTTGGCTGCTACCCTGTAACACTTTCTACTCAAGAGTTGAGGGGTAAGCCATGAAAAGCAATCATGTATAATTTTTTTAATAACAAAAATCTTTACTATCCTTATTTTCTAGTATATTATCATGCCATTACCATTATCACTATTGCCTCCATCACATCCTCCCTTCTCTGCTGCCACCACCACCACCACTATTATCTTCTTGCCACCAACACTCCACTATTGCCACCATCACCATCAGCCTCACTGCTATCACCTTACTAGTTATCACCCTCATCAGACGATACCTCTGCCTGATCATTGCTACTATTATTATTCGCATTTATTACCCCAACTATCACCACTTTCTCCAAGAGACTAATATGTTCATACCACCAGCACTTTTGCCATCATTGTCACTCTTATCATTACCACCACCACCATCATTTCCTTCTCCGTCACAATGACGACTTTTGCTGCCTCTCTTTCCCTCTCAATTGAACTAGGTGATGTGCAGTAGTAAATTATATTTTTGTTATTCATGGAGACTGATTTATGATTTTCACAGATTCACCTTCAAGGTTATTATTGAGATAGAAGCAGGAATGAAAACCACTATAGAGTGCTTTGGTTCCCCTCATCAAAAAAAGAAAACAGCAGCAGACCACGCAGCTGAGGGAGCATTGTGGTTCTTAAAGCATCAAGGTCATGTTAGGAAGAAGAAAAACCAATAAAGGGGATAATAATCACTGAATATCATCTTGAGCCAAAGCTTCAACAACCACCAAATTTATTTCATTCTTCAGTGATGCTCTCTAGCCTTGGCTGCCAAAGTACAGAAGACAATAATCGCCCAGGTGAGCCTAAATTTCCTGTCAAATCTTGTGTCCTCTTCCTGGTTAGTGTATTGGTGTCACAAAATCCAGTTTCTTTTAGCAAATCATCAGGTTTTTCTTTAGTTGTGACTCCACTAAACAAGTAAGGAAAGCAATTATCAACATAAAAGCAAACACTCTTTCTTATTTGTGGTCTCTCTCTTTTGTTTCTTTCATGTTTGTAGCTGTCATGTTGCTTGGGAATTTTATTCCTGAATATACAACAAATAGAGATCATACCATCATCTTCCTCATTGCTGAATCCGACGTTCCTAATTTCATGAAATGGAGAAGGATAACGCTTTGGAGAAAGCCTTTGGAGCTTTCTTACGGTGCTTAATGGCACTACATAGAACTTCTGTCCAGGCATGAGCATGGTGTCTGGAGCAACAATTGCCCATGGCTGTTGAAACACGTGCGGATATGCAATGCAGCATCTTGGGTTATGACACATAATCTCAGCTGCAAGCACAGGCCTGTCAAGGAGCTCATTACGACCACCAGGATGAACAATCCGAAGGAACAGAGTTTTTGAACCGTTGGTGCAAATCCAGCTTGAAATTGACATGGTTTCTCTGTATTTTAGGCAAGGGAGGAGTAAGGAAACAATTAGTGTATGCAACCGACTCAACCCAGTGTTGGGGGAATAACGAGATCATCCCATGAGAGCAAGAAAAAACCTGAGGAGGATTTAAGTATAAATAATTCAGCAAGACTAAGATAGATATATATATATATATATATATATAAGATGCATTGGTTACTTTCTGTCATTGAATGTATGAAAACTCTTGGCTGTTACTTGTTTCGTTCGTTGATAACATCAATGCATAAGATCCTTGTACCGATGAGGCCAAGTAAATTGTATTATGCAGTTATCTCCTGTGTAGAAGATGCTCTTTTATAAATTTTTCTTCTAATGCTATTTTTTGTAAAATTTATTTTGTTCCTGTCAAAGAATATCAAGCTGCTTTCCCCCACTCCTTCGTTCATGGATAAACAGTTGGGCGGTCATACATCATTGATGGAATTAATCTTGGTTTATCCTATGTTGGAATTGGTCTGTAGTGTGTGTGTGTGTGTGTGTAAATTACGTATATAATGGCAAGCTTCCTCCAGCCGCTAGGTTATTACAAAGAACCGGTGATTCTCACTAAGACTGTTGAAGCGCAAGTTGTGTTTTGTGTCCTCTCCGTGGAAGCCAAATCTTACTTACAAATATCCGAATGCGTGTGTGGAAATCACCGTCCGTGATAGTTAATCTCAAGGAAATCAATAAATGCTTGAAAATAATTCTAAAGCAATGGTCTCTGTGTTATACCACTTTCTTGCTGTTTTTCCTTGTGTTTTGAGACAATTTTCTCTCTGACCAAAACAAAAGTCGCGTTTCATCGTCGGTTTTAACTTTTTTTCAATGAAAAATGTGTGTCCATTAATTTAAAAAAAAAAATTACAAGAGTAGGAAAAATCTGGAACAATTTTCTTTCATCACCCACCGCCTTTACTCGGTGAGGACAAGGTGATGTTTGGTCAAATAACCAGGGACAAAGTGTCCCCCAAAAGCAATTCATTATACTATAGTTTATATGTATATTGCTTATAAATAATTTCTAAATTTAATAATATTAGTTATAATTACCCCACAACATATATGCACATGCATGCTGTCCTCACATTCTAAATTTCTGGGTCCAGTAAATGATGCAACCCATTCCTTTTAACTATTGCAAAACATAAGACCTTTATTTAATTTTACAAAAAAATGTTAACTCATGGTCTTATCTAAAGTCAAAGTATATCGTTACATTTAAAATTGATATACACTAACTGTAACTAAACATTAATTTCATGAGGTAGAATGCATTCCTTCTCCCTTGTTGAGAGCATATTTGATGTTTTAAATTTACCATGAGAATCATATATTTCACTTATAATTCATAAATGTCTGGGAGAGAACAAAACTCAAGGCTGATTCTTTCAGCTTAGGATTGTAATTTGTTCGCAACAACAAGGACTAGATAACCCCCAGCTAATCCTAAAATAGAATGTAATCTGTAATCTCACCAGGATTTACAAACTACCATGCTCTGTCACCTCCAAAACATGATAATTGATCATCTTTCTTCTTCAAAATACAAACTTTGCAGCGACATCAGAGTTTTAACCATCTCCAGAATCAACCCAAATTCTCAGGGCAGACTGATTCTGAAACTCTGAGTGACCCTCCCAGTTCTGTAGGTACCAAAGGGATAAGAGAGTGCAGGACATCAGTAATTAGCGGCCGATAACTTGGTTCTGGTTGAACACAAAGTACAGCCACTGCAGCAACCTGCAGAATGTTAATGCTAGTTATAGAACTTCCAATTATCGGTAATTAAGGAGAAAAACTCGCAATTATGGCGATTCTATTTAGTGAACCTGATATAAATGCTTCAAATCCATTGTGTTTCTGATTACAGGATCTATAATACTTGAAAGTTTTGTTCTGTCAGTTAGCTGAGGCATGGCCTGCATGCAATTCATAATATGTTTTAACTTCTAATAAATCACCAAGCTCTGATGAACTGAAGAATTTGCAGCTAAAGTTGGCCATATTGAACGGCCTTGATAGTGTGAAATTAACATACCCATGTGACAATGGATTGGTATTGGTCTGAGGACATATTGTCCATGGCTTTTCTTCCTGTTAGAAGCTCAAGAAGGATAACCCCAAAAGCATATACATCACTCTTATCAGTTAGCCTACCTGAAAACAAAAAGTTGTTATTTTCCATTAACAACAACAAAAATGAACAAGGTTTCTTAGGTTCTCAGATTTGTTAATTGAAGCATGATGATGCACTGAAAATTACAAGTCTCAAATAATGGAAGGGATCCTTTCTCTTCCTCAAGATGAAGATCATTTTCCCACAAGAAAAAGAAAAATCCCTTCCTCCTTAAATAAATCTAAGTTTATATACCAATCAGCATTTAAAATCATCAAGATTGAATGATGACCAGTTTCATGAGAATATTGTGTTCATAATTAACTTGACAGAAATAGCACATTTACAGATGACTATGAAATTAATTTGCTGGCAAATTATACTGAATTTATAACACAAGTCATCTTGTCCATCTTTAAAATAATAATTTTAATAAAGACCTCTTTTAATAAGAATTTCAAAAATAGTTCTCATCTTCAGAAACTTAACAAAAATATTTCCCAAAGGAAAAATGAAGATACCAAACAGGAGGAGCAGCAGTGAAGCATATTTGGTTAAAGTATACTTTTAGTCATATAATTTTATATAAGGTTTCAATTTATTTCCTTAATTTTATAAAGTATTTTTTTAGTCCTTTAATTCTAACACCGTTAGTTTTAAATGATTATTTTTTGTGTCAATCATTGTTATTTTTAAAAAATTAAACTCAATAATTAATATGTCAATATTTGAGAATGTTTTGTTAATATTTGAAAATTCAATGAAAAAATTTGTTGGAATGAAACTAACGATATTAGGGTTATAAGATTAAAAAGACATTTTATAAAGTTAAGAGATTAAAATGAAACCTTGTATAAAATTAAAGGATTCAATGTATATTTTAGCCAACACATTCAAACAATCTTAAAATGGAGAAGAAAAGTAGCACTTCCAAAGGAGGAGAATTGATACAACTACTCAATTTAAGATAAAAGAAAACACTGTAGGAAGGAGTAAGATATTTGTTTGATAATGACAAATGTTTCTCATGTACCGTGTGATATGTACTCAGGTGCTACATAACCCAAAGTTCCTGACATCTTTATGTTCTTGTCTTGCATTCCAGAACTTACAGCAAGCCCAAAATCTGATAGCTGAATCAATCAAAATTTAGCAAAAGCAATCATAAGTAAACAATTTAAGTAAAAAAGACAAGCAAAAAGAATAAATGATTTTGAATCTGACCTTGGCATTAAAACGAGAATCCAGAAGAACATTAGAAGATTTTAGGTCTCTATGAACCACAGGAGGATTAGAGTGCTCATGGAGATATTCTAATGCTCTAGCAGAAACAGAGATTGTTAGATCAGCCTATTTAATCAAAAAAATCAGAAGATGTCACCAATAAGATTCACAGACTTACCTGGCGACATCAACAGCAATTCTTAACCGGAGACACCAATTTAAAGATGATCCATGATTGGGCCCTACAATTGTAAACACAGATGAAACATGTGATGCTTATGCACCCTATATATAGTATTACACTAGTTCCGCTCGTTTAATAGATGAAAAATGATACCATGTAATTGAGTTTCCAAAGATCCATTCTCCATCATTTCATATACAAGAAACCTTGATTCACCGTGAATACAGTAACCAAGAAGTTTTATGATATTCTGATGTCGAATCTTACTTAACCAATTCACTTCATTCTGCAAATTTAACCAATAATTGGAGGCAAACTCTGTAAAGATCAAAACCTTATCCCAGGAAATAGAGATTTTAATATAAATAATAAATAAATGGACCATTACCTCAAATTCTCTATCAGCAGTGCTATCTGCTTTCTTCACAGCTGCCTTGAGATGCTCATCAAAACAAGCCCTGTAAACTAGCCTAGAACCACTCTCACCCAGAATATTACTATTGGCAAAGTTGTTTGTTGCAACCTCTAACAACTCGAAGTCAAATATAGCAATTGAACTCTTCTTGTCTACCATTTTTGAGTAATTAAATTTAACATCAATAGGGCTAAGTGACGCCCCTTTTGCAGCTTCTGCAAATTCAATAAACATATAAATGAGGGGTGGAAAAGAAAATTATCTGCATTCGTGATCTATAAATGGAAAAAAGAGATTTTCATGCAAAAGTATCTATACCGATATTCTCGGTGCTTTTAGAACTGGGGACTTTGAAGATTTTGTGTCGATGAAACCAGATATATGTTAAAATTAGGAAGATTGAAACAAGAAGAGCAGAACAAACAATAAGTGCTATTAGAATTCTCTTGTTCAAATTCTGGTGATGGCCTTCTCTAACCTCCGCTATACCTGGTTCAACAAGAGAGATAAAACCACATATGACTTGATCAATAAGAAGACATAGATTATTAAATAAGGTAAAATAACTTAGATAAAAATTACAATGACACAGGAATAAGGTTAAAAAAAAAGAAACCCACACAACTTGATCAATAAGCAGACAGATTATTAAATAAGGTTAAAAAAACTTCAATAAAAATGGCAATGGCACAGGAATGTGAGAGAGAGAGAGAGAGAGAGAGGGGGGGTGATTCGGGCGAACTATAATTGAACTGTATCATCAGAATTAAGTAATTAATTGACACAGATATCAACAAGTAGGAAGGAGAACCTCTGAAAGTAAGCAGCTTTCTATGGTCTAATTCTAATAATTAAGCAAAAATGGGAAAATAAACTGGTATCATCAGATCTATGGTTGAAAATGATAATGCTTAGAACAAAAAACATAGTTATTTTATTTCATCAAATGGTTTCAGACTGAGGAAAGGCATAAATTGCTGCTTAACCACTTTTGTCTGTTTGCTTACCGGCGAAACTGAATTTTTCAGAAACCAAAGAGAATTTTATACAGTAACTTGACAGTGAACCCCATCCAAATCGCTCATTGATTTATGGCCCCAAAAAAAGTGAAGACCAAGGATTTTGGTGGGGATTAAAACTTTTGAGCTTTTAATGCTTTTCGAAGTGATGGTGAACCAGGCATGATATCAAACAGAAAGCTAACAGGAAACTTCAAAGCTTAAAATTAATGAAACAAGTAGATAATTCCCGAAGATATGCAGCAGTACCTGGAGATTGAGCTTCAGCATTTGCAAAAAAATGAGAAACTGAAGGGGAAAAGCTTGATACCCAAATGAGTAGGAACAGAAGAAGAAAATTATTCATGTTGCCTTAGATGGGTGATGAAGGAAGAACAATGACACAGAGAAGGAGAATATAAGAATGAGAGCAAGTGTTGAAAGAAGAGAAACTTCTTTTGGGGTTTGATTTTGAATCTGAACTTTGGCAGTAATAACCTGTGAAGAAATGGACAAAGGATCTTTCAGGGAAACCAAGAAAGCGCTTTTGAGTCCAGCTACTACCAAATTTGATGATTGAGATGAGTAGGCTTGTTTGTTTATGAGGGAGAGAATAAGAGAGGGGCAATATAGGAACGAAAGAAAGAACTGAAGAAATCATGTGGCGGTTATGCAAAGGTGAGCGTTCCAAAGTTATGGGGACAGAGAGAGAGAAAAGAGGGAGAGAGAGGGGGGGCAGTATAGGAACGAAAGAAAGAACTGAAGAAATCATGCATGTTACACAAACACAACACCAGGTTAAAGTTTGAAGCTTTATCTTTAGCTCTTTGAAAGAAATCTTTGTTGTCAAAAGTTTGTCAAGTTGAATAAATGAAAGAATAAGTTTAAATAAAGTATATATATTTATTTATTGTGTTCATGGCTCTTTATATTAAATAGAAATAGAAAGACTGGTGAGGGTTCTTAATTATGGAGTTCCATCGTGCCACGATTTATGGGCGTGTCCACTTGCCATGAATTTTATATTTTATATAATAAAACAAATTCTTGCTTTATAATATTTCTATTTTTCATTTTAACTTCTTACCAACGACTTTTTTACTTACCTTTTTCAATTAATTTGTATTATTTAAGATTTTGCAATAAGTTCTTATAATTCTTAACAAAAATTAGTTTATGGTATACTTATAATTTATAAATTGTTGTTAATATATAATAAAGGTTAAAGTATATTTTTTGTTCTCTAACTTTATACGAAGTTTTAATTTAGTCTCTTAATTTTATAAAGTACTCCTCCAGTTCTATTTATAAGGTAAAAAGAAAAAAAAATTTAATCTTATTTATAGGGCATTTACTAATTTTCAATACTTCTCTTTACATTTTTGTCCTTATTAAATACTTTAAATAAAAATACTAGTAATGAGATTTAAAAATATTTATTAGGGATAAAGGTAAAAACTTATTAAATTTTAAGATAAAGTTAGTGGGGTTTTAAGATTTTTATTTATTTTGATAAAATATGTCAGAAGTGATTTATAAATAAGACCAGAGACAATAATTTTCAGTCATATGACCTTAATAGTGTTAGTTTCAAATAATTTAATTTTTGTACCATTCATTATTATTTTTTAAAAAAATTAAATTTAATATACCAACATTTGATAATATTTTATTAATATTTAAAAATTTAATGTAAAACTTTTTTTTTAATGAAGCTAATGGTGTTAAGGTTAAAAAAAACTGAAAAATATTTTATAAAATTATGGAACTAAAATAAAATTGTATAAAATTAAAAATTAAATGTATATTTAATTGATAATAAAAGTATTTCTTACACCATCAATCTCATATTATATTGGGCATTTTAACTTCATATAACTTGTCTTTTCCAAAAAGAAACAACTTCATATAATTTGTCACTGCTAGTACATTACTCCATTTTGCGGAGTAGTAGTAATTATTAAAGTATATTATTTATAAGTTATAAATAATATAATTTATTATAAAATTTTGGAAAAATATAATTGTTGGTTTCTATACTTTTAGTATATTTTGGTATTAGTTCTTATATTTTTTTTATTACTTCAAATCTCTTAAATTTTATCTATTTACAATGTTAGCCTTTATTTGAGAAAGTTAAATTTATATATGTGTACATAACTTTGTTGATCTTATTATTGAGTTGGTAAAATTATGATGAGTTGGACATTTCATAAACCAAATTGCTACTTGTTTGTCAGTCACCTTAGTTATTATGTCTTCTAATTTATGAAGCTTCATCCATTGTGCATTTAAGAATTTGAGTTAATGTTTCTTCTTTGTTTGTTTGCCTTCTAGTTATTTTTATACAACTTATTATAATTTTAACAAGTCAACACAAAAAGTAATGGAGTTTATGTACAAATTTGTTACCATTAGGTCCTTATGATCATTTTTAAATTAAAAATATATGGATTAATATTACTTACAGATGAAACTAAGAGACTTGGAGTCATGAAAATAAAGTTTAGGAACTAATATTAAAACATGCTATATGGATCAATAGTTATAGGCTAAAGTGCTTTTTTTTTTTTCTAACTTTATACAAGATTTTATTTTGGTCCATTATTTTTATAAAATATATTTTCAATCATATATCTAGAGTCAAAAAAATGGGTTGAGCTCACGTGCTAGCCCATTTAACTCACAAAAATTAATGGATTTGGTTAAATAAATTAGCTCATTTTTTAAAAGGGGCTGAGCTAGCCCAACCTGCAAAACTAGAGGGCTAAAATGGGCTGACCTGCGGGCTAGCAAAATTTTTAAAAAATAATTTTTTATTTTTTAATCATATTATATCTTTTTATAAATCTACAATAATGATAATATTTTTTAAATATATAATCTATGACTCCCAAATATGTTCTTTATTAATTTTTATAGAAATTTTTTAAATATATATTATTTATTAATATCATAAGATCTATTAATTGAAATCATAAATAAGAATTCATTAGGAAAAATAAAATTAGTTATATTCAGATTTTCTTTCTCAATGAGAAAGATAACACACCTAGGCGAGAAAATAAATAATAGTAAAAATCTAACAAAATAAATTTATTTGATTAAATTTTATATTTATTTACAAGTCCTTTAATTGCTAATTTCCTTAAAATATGAAATAAATATATATTTATATTATATAAATTTTAAATTGTAAAAAAAATTTGGTAAAATTTTGCAGGCTAGCCTACAGGCTCGTCAGCCCATTAGAAAATGGGTTGGATTGAGTTTTTCAGCCTTTTTTATTTAACAAGTTAACTCAACCCAACCTATAAAAATGCCAACCTGCGTGGACTAGCCTACGAGTTAGCCCATAATTCATTTGCCCAGTACTAGCTATATTCCTAACACTGTAGTTTTATTAATAAAAAAAATTTCTACACTAAACTTTTAAATATTTAAAAAACATTCACAAATGCTTACTTATAAGTTTATGACAATGATTGACCCACAGATAATATTTAGAATTAAGGATGTTTGGGTTAAAAGGATTGAAAAAGATATTTTATAAAATTAAAAAATTAAATTAAATTTATATAAAATTAAAGGATTAAAGGTGCTTTAATCATAGTTTATTTTTTTTATAAATTTTATTAAATTAATCGTAACAGTGGATAATGAGTATTGAGTAATGACAATGATAATGATTATATCAATTATATATATATATATATATATATAAAATAATAGACTAGACCTCTAACTTGTCCCTCCATGATTTGGCATCTTCAAATCTCAACAAATTCAAGATTTTGCCAGCTTCATTGGCTCTGAAGGTGTTTATAATTTACTCAAATTTAAATGCATTAACACTAATTTTTAAATCCCACTTTCCTCTTTTATAATGATGGAATTTTGGGATAATATTGATTTAGATATCATTATTTTTTGCAAAGCATATTATACTATAAAAAATAAAATATTAATATTTTTAAAAAATATTTTATAAATGTAATGGAGAGAGTTTTTTTTTTTGTCGTTATATGTATTATATTTTATATTGGTAGAAAGAAACCCCACAAACAAAACCATAAATTAATTATTGACATGTCGTGACTTGGATGATAGGGCAATCAAAATCATGATGGCTACGTTTTGCGTACTTCCTTTCTCACAAATATCATGTGAACTCCCCAATTCATAAACAAAAATTAGACATTTTTTTTTTAATCAGAAACTCAAAAATTAAGATTTTATGAATGTATAATTTTTAATTGGAATACATTTCTTACTAATTCAATAGAATATATGATTAATTATGAAGATATATTTAACACTCCCTCTATTAAAAATGTAAGGCATTTTTAATCTTTTAAGGTATAATTATTGTCTTTTTTTTAAAGTACATCTATTGATAATTACTTTATATTTATTATAGAGTATTTAATAAAGGTAAATATGAAAAGATATAGTAATTAGAAAGTAGGTAACTACTTTATTGAGGGTTAAAATTTAATTAAAAATGCCTTATAGTTTTTAACAGAGAGTATCTAATATCAAAATTTTTTATTTTATTTAAATTTTATTCTAAACATAATATTAATTATATTTACACTTCCAATCATATTCATAAGATAAAGAGATAGAGATAGAGTTTTTTATCCTATTTATAACTCATGTTCTTAACTTTTTATTACAAGTTTCTCCTTTTATCACATTAAATATTAATGAAAAAAATATTATAAAAGTATGCATATTTAAATTTTAAAAAAAATACATATATAATAAGGATAAAGTTAAAAATTTACTAATTTTGGATAGAATCAATAAATTTTAAAATTTTATTTGTTTTGGTAAAATATGTAGAAATTAATTTATAAATTTAATTTTTTTTTCAGTTACATATTATTAAATTTTAATTTAATGACAAAATGAAAGATAACAGTCCATCCAGCAAGTTGAGATTCATGGTCCCACGACTTGTGACATTGGGACTGCTTACGGTCAACATAATGCTGCTAACACAGTATCTATAATTTTTCTTTTTCACTAATTTTATAAATATAAAACATATGTTTATTATTATTCAAGTAAATTTCACATATTCGAGTAAAGATTATATCCTCAGTTATGTCTAACAATACTTAAATTTGACTTAATCAAATAATTATATAAAAATAATGAATCCAACCTAAATTCTTCTAAAACTCCTTGATATTATGAGTTTTTTAAACTATATAAAATAGATATGAATTCTCTGACCAGGAACAAAAAAACAATCCTTTCTTAGAAATAGAAGTTTTGGAAAGCTTAAGACAAGATTAAAAGAGAAAATTAACAACATTTTAAAATTCAAACTGGACAATGAACCAAAAAGATCAATGAGTCACAAGTCTTATGGTTCAACTAGTGATATAATAATAAATAAAAAATAATATTTACATACCTATATATTAAAAACAGTCAAAACGGTTCAACCACTCTGAGTTTCGAGTTTTTGCTTAAATCTTCAAAAAACCGCCTAAGTCAAAGCAAGCCAACAGCCAAAACGAGCCAAATAGTTGAACCATACCATTTTTTTCTCCAAGTAATGTTCGACCAATCGACCATTTGGGTCAGTCTGGGTTTTAAAATAGTGAAAATTACCTCTTATGTGAGTCTACATAAACCTGAATTTTCTTCTATGCTAAATGTAAAACATAAAATACAAAGCCCACCTTTTTTTGGAAGAAAAACAAAGTTTATATTAACTAAAAAT